GCCACCAAACTGAAAGTGAGATCATAACTCAGTAACTGTTTCACATACGGACTCAGAACTTGGTGTAGGGACCAAAAATGCATTTGAGCCCTGGTGAGGGCTACAATAAGCAGAAACATAATTTTCCAATCATTGTTTACAGTCATGCTTTTATTACAATCAGATCAAGTTGCCATGGTACCTATGGCCTGCCAAGCTAGTTATATTTAATTAAGAGGAGTTTCTTTATGATTTTTGAAAATAATTGTTCAGATAGAATTAGTAAACTACACATACTATATTGTGCTTAGGAACTAAAATGTGTTTTTGTTCTTGTTGAACAGACCTTTCTCTCTACATTCAGAAGGGGAGGAACTTGGATTGGTTTGAATGACAAAGAAAAAGAGGGCACCTGGACATGGGTAGATGGAACTCCTCTGACTCTGAGGTAAATCTTTACTTTGGTTCAGAAATAATTAATTCACATACACAACTATTGTTTTTTATCACTACAATTTATCAGTTGTTGAACTTTCAGCAAGTGTTTCTCACAATCATAACAGAAATAACCTCATTGGTGAACTTACACATCAGTGGATCAAGTCATGCTACCTGGGCCAAATCTTAAAAATGTACTTTCTAGTTTTTCTGTGACATAAGGGGAACTAACTCTTCCTAAACTGACATCATATTTGACATGTTATCATCTCGTACGCATTTTATGGTAAAAAGCTGCAGTGTTGAGTCATAATTCTCAGTGGATTCATCATCCAAAGCAGATGATTTTAAATATATATAGTCATTGGTACTAAAAAAATATTAGGAAACAAGACATTTGATGGTCCCATTAAAACCATCTGTTCTTGCTTGTGTTTGTGTTTCTATTCTGATTCCTTTGTCAAAAATAAACACTGTAATAATTCTGTTGTTCACTGACCTGCCAGTTATTGGGAGAACAACCAGCCTGACAACGGTGGTGGAAGTTCACTGTATGGTGAAGAGGACTGTGCACACATGACAACTTATAGGCTTGCTGTTTGGAATGACATTTCATGTACAGCTTCTCTGCAGTGGATCTGTGAAAAACAACCATAACTATGCTCCATTTTTTGTCTGAGGATCATATATATCTGAAGTCATCTGTTTAAATACTTTTCAGTTTTAGCTAAGCTTGTCATTTCATCCTGTAGCTTTGGTATTTGGCTGTAGCTGAATGGGTGCAACCTTGATATGGACCTACAGGTGATAACGCAGCTGTTTCTTCCTATGCCAATGTGTTCATTTTTCTAAAATCAATGTATTAAGATAATAAATCACAATAAAAAAAAAATCTAGATGCCATTCCTGAATGAAGTGTTCACTGTACTGTTTTTTTTTTTTTTTTTTCATTCATCCAGGGAAGGGAATCTCTGTTTGGTTCATATCACTTCATAGAATTTAGCGAGGATGTTTGTCCATGTGGTGCTGCACTGCTACAACCCGCGCTACTCACGGTACTGCAAATATTTGTGTGCATGTTCTGCCTTATTCCTACTCGATTCTTCGCTATCTTAGTGGTAAATGTGCTGTGAAAGTGCAGCAAGATGTTATTGTTGAAAGGACTTTATTACGCTTTTACTCCGGCTAGTGTTGGGCCACACTATGCTGGAGGCGAGTACCGTGGTGACCACGCTCCTAAGGTACACTAGAGCAGGGGTTCTCAACTGGTGGGTCGCGACCCAAAAGTGGGTCGCGGACCTGTTCTGGGTGGGTCGCAGACAGCTGGTCAGAATTATTTTTTATTTATTATTATTTTTTATTTTGAAAAGACTTTTATTTTGACAGGCATGGTAACCGTAGTTTGTTTGATGTTCATTTTAAGTTTGTGTTGATGTTGGGATGCAACATGGCAAAGCGCAAATTTGACCCGGAGTGTTTAAATGTTGATTTTCATACTCGGGCTGGACCCAAATAGCCAACTATTATACAATATATCAGTTTTGATCTCCGAATATTCCTCCCACCTCCCGCCACTACCACCGATACAGCACCGAGACCGTAGGTCGGACTGAAAGCTCAGCGCCCGCATCCCCCATCTGAGTAATAATTATTTTGTGCAGTTTTGTACATGCAGTGGTCATGGTGATGCTGCTTTGATTGTGATGTGGGTGTGTGTATGGCATATGTTGGGGAATCCAGCGACAGCGTTAAGTCCCTGTTTGATTTGGGCTATTCGGTGATGGCTGTAAGGGAGCTGGATGTAGGCTGGGGGCAGGGGAGTTATGGCATCCAACACTGCCGGCTTGATCCTGCTCAGTGGTGGCTGGAAATGCCGCATATGTCTCCAACCTCACACTGGAATGTGTCGATGGTCAAAATCCCCGAATACTTTCTATTTGTAGTTTCACTGTTCTACCGCTAGATTATGTGCGTACGCATGGTCAGAGCTGTGCTTATATTTACGCACATTCCAAAGTATAAGTACAAGTTGATAAATTCCATACTTTGCGTAGGAATGTTCATACGCACGCTCTACGCACATATCTGTGCGTGCGCACTGATGATAAATGAGGCCCCAGGTTTCCTCCGTGCAGCGTGGGTTCTCTCCGGGTTCTCCGGCTACCTCCCACAGTCCAAAAACATGTTGAGGTTAACTGGTGATTCTAAATTGCCCGTAGGTGTGAATGTGAGTGTGCTTGGTTGTCTGTCTCTAAGTGTAGCCCTGTCATAGACTGGTTACCTGTCCAGGTGTCCCCTGCCTTCACCCTAAGTCAGCTGGGATAGACTCCAGCCCCCTGCGACCCCTCGTCCTCACTAGGGGTTACGCGGTGTATTTGTGCAGGACAGTTTTTTTTTTCTCAATTATTCTTTCAACGACAATTCAAGCAATGTCTTAATTCACTAAATTATAATTTAGCAAATTTTTATTTATTATTACTTTTTTCAGTTTCTAGTTATTTGAAATAAAAATATAACAATGTTATTATTAATAAATATAATGCTGTTAAAACCTACAAGGCGCATTTCTGTCTTCCATGGCAGCAGACGCACGTGCCACTCTGTCACTCTTGCTCGACCACTCACGCAATGCGTGAGCTTACAGCTAGTTAGCTAACGGCTATTTGGCAGTGAGCCTGCTAACAGAGTAGATAGTACAAAACATAGAATTAAAATACATAACATATTAAATTCATATTGTCTTTTCTTCATTATGGTCTTAATCAGTTTTGCTACCATCATCTTCGCTGCTACTACTGCTATTCGCTAGCGCATGCACATAACCGTTAGCAGTGTTTGCTAAGACACCCCCGCTTTGACATGCTGGCGAGGACCCTGAATATCCTCCCCTCCAGCTGTATGTCCATCTGGGATGCTGTCATGTGTTGAGGCGTGTTCATTCTTTTGAGATAGAAGACAAGCTACTTCTCTCATTTAGTGTTATTTATTCTGCGATATAATATTTTACTTGATCAAGGATCCATTACTGATTCAGAAAATCACAGTCAGCAAGCTGTTATCTGTAACCAACTTCCCCAGCAATGGATCCAGCTTCATGTAATCATAAACATTTTATTCATTGTAGTGCAAGGTGACTGGCTACTAAACACAGACATTGAATTTAAATAGTGAAACGTGAATGGCTATCTGGTTGGGGAGGAGCCGTGGTTGAAACTTAGCTCTCCCGTTGTTGGTGCACAGATATGTCCATATCTCTTGGCACCCAATCCATCCAATCCACAGCATCTGCACCCTGTAAAGAGAAACCTCCTCATGAACATTCCCCGCTCTCTAGATGTCAGTACTTCTCCTTTGTCTAAAGTACTATAAGTTTATAGGGGGATGGTATGTCTGTGTGTGTGTGTGTGTGTGTGTGTGTGTGTGTGTGTGTGTGCATTCCTTCTCTCTGACCTGGCCTAACCTCCCTGAGTTTGGTCTCTCTGGCCTGCTTGTGTTCTTCTTTCCCCTTCTTAAAATTAGCACAACTCACACATTAATATGCATTAAATGATGCTAGTGTCAATTATAAGCTATCAGTGCTTTCACAAAATTAAATATTCCAACACATGGAGCCATATTTCTGTTAAAGCAAACACACAGCAGTCCCTCCACTCTCCGCGGGTTTCTCTCAGCAAACATAGCTCGTCCAGCTTGTTGTGGAGGGAGCGGACACTGGAGAGCAGGAGCAACAGTCCTGCTGGTCTGGAGGGGTTAGCCTTTAACCTAGCATGGATCCCAGCCCTCTTCCTCCTCGTTTGTTTACGTTCGTACCGTTTGCGCTTCCTTCTCTCTCAGGTAACTGCCGGCGTATTAACTGAGTCCGAGTGGTTGCTTGAAATGGTATAAAAGCAACGGTACATCGCTTTGCAGCATACATTTTATGTTACCTTGATAACACTAAAACATGAATCACAGTTTTATTAATTTGTAACCTTTATTGTATGTTTTGTTTTTTTGTTTTTCAGAGTTTTCATGTCCGAAGCATTTAAGAGAAAGCATTATAGTACAAACAACAACACACACTTCTGGCTTTATATTACCAGTGCGTTATGTGTTTACTTTTAACTGTAACCTACTTATGTTCATAATTGTGGAGTTGATTGCTCTGTCTATGCTTATTTGCCTACACTTTTTTTTCTTCCAGTCACCTGCTGATAACCCCATGATTAATCTCAACACATTATGAACTGTAGGTAATTCCCTCAGTCACACATCTGCAGGAATACATACTTTTTTTTCTTTTTTTATAAGGTGGAGATCAATGAAGAGATGAAACATTGTGAACATCAGTTTTATTGTCTTTGGAACAGAAAGATCAGTTAATTCAGCTTAGGCTTTACCTATGTGACACTAAAAATACAAACTGTAAAAATATTACATTTTGTGATTGTTCATTTATTTTCCTTTCAAATCAAATTAGATATTACACACATATGCTTAGAATGAATATTTTTTAAAATTACTAAAATTATTTGCCACAGAAAACAGTGCTTTCAACTATAAATTAAGTACTGCTGTTCTACTATGATACATCCAAAATATGTGTGCCATTATATTCTACTGTAACACAAAGTCTCGTGCCGTAAATGTTATGAGCCATTCTGCCAGATGTTTCATGCATGAGTATCATAAGCAATAAGCAAATATGTATATATGAAGACTATGTGCAGACAGTAACAGCAATTCATCGAAAAAAAGCAAGCAAGCCATCATTAATACCAGTAAATACATCTGCAAATATAGGTAATTTGCAAATAATGCGTGAGTAATTATCATCAAACAGACATACCTAAAAAATTTACTAAATTACTGTCCTCTGTCTGTGTTGCAGAGTTAGTCTTCATTCCCCAGTGAAGGTAGGGTTGGCCACAGTGGTGGTGGCATTCTGGAACAGTGGGTTGTCAGCCTAATAGTAAAAGAGAGATGATTAGAAAGACTTGTATAGATTTGGGCATATGGATGTGATCAGGACAGCAGTCTGTTAAAATATGAAAAGTAGGGCACTGTAGTGCTCGGACCCTAATAACTTCAATAACTAAGTGGCTGAAATAGTGCTGTCCTTAGGCCTAAAGCCAAAGTGAAATTTTAGCATGGAATAAGTGGTTTAAAGGGATTTTAACTCTATTGACAAGAGACTCAGGTATGTTTGCAGGATGAGATAGTTTAAGGATTCTATGACTGGGGTCCGAGTACTACAGTGCGTAGGACCCTATTGTAACTCGTGATAATTTTTGTAACAACTTTTGAAATGCAATTTTTAAGGCCTAAACATGCACAAAAACTCACCAAAATCCACATACACATCAGGACTGGCGAAAATTTTGATATTTTAAGAGAGTTGGACATGTCAATGCCAAAATGGCTCCACAGCACCACCTTGAAAATTTCAATGGCGTCTCATCAGGAGCACATTTGACCTAGACCTACGCAATTTGGTAGGTATATGGAGGAGGTCAGGACAAACAAAAAAGTCAGTAACAACCATAGCCTAAACCCAACAGGAAGTAGCCATTTTGGATTGTTTGTTTGCCCAACCTCAGCTAACTCCTCCTAGGAGGTAAGTGACAGAGCGCTGAAGTTTGGGTAGCATGTAGAATACGCCTTGAAAGTAAAATGTAAATCTTCTGCAAAGGTCAAAGGATGTGGCCACAATGGCCCTCAGATTTTTGATCCTTCTCCATGAAAGAGGAAGTACTGTGCAACTACCCTGTACATGCTTCAATCAGCCTCCAGTCGTTCAATCTATCAATCTATGTTCTATCAGTCAGTGGTCGCCAGGGTCCTTTTCTATGCCGTGGTGTGCTGGGGCAGCAGCACATCAAAAAGGGACGCATCGAGGCTGGACAAATTAATCAGGCGGGCCAGCTCTGCAGTGGGCATGAAACTGGACTCCCTGGTGACAGTGGCAGAGAGGAGGACACTGAACAAACTGCTGGCCATCATGGACGATGCCAGCCATCCTCTGCACACTGTCATCATCGCCCAGAGAAGCCAGTTCAGCGACAGGCTGCTCCTCCCCAGGTGCAAAACCAACAGGACCAAAAACTCCTTTGTCCCCCGAGCCATCAAACTGTTCAACTCTGAGCTCGGGGGGAGGAGGAGGAGCAACAAGCGGGGAGAGGTGGGGAGCAAGGGGTGAGGACATTGGGGTGAGATAGAGCTTCATGCTCTATCACCGGACTGTGTAGAATATTTTGGCACTTTGGCAATTTTGTTACTGTATCCATTGTTGTTGTTGTTATTATTGTTAGGGCCAGAGCACTACAGTGCGTAGGACGCTCTTGAAACTGAAAGGATTAGCGTTTCTTCTTCTTCTTCTTCTTCATGGCCATAAACAATTGCATTTTTTGAGGGCCTAAACATGCTCAAATCCGTATGAACATTTGCACGCACATCAGAACTGGTGAAAATTTTGATATTTTAAGGGAGCTGGACATGTCAATGCCAAAATGGCTCCACAGCACCACCTTGAAAATTTCAACGGAATCCCATCGGAAGCATGTTTGACCCAGACCTACGCAATTTGGTAGGTATATGGAGGAGGTTAGGACAAACAAAAAAGTCAGTGAAAGCCATACTCTAAACCCAACAGGAATTCCGCCATTTTGAATTGTTTGTTTGTCCAACCTGAGCTAACACCTCCTAGGGGGTAAGTCACAGAGCGCTGAAATTTGGGTAGCAGGTAGAATACGCCTTGAAGGTAAAATTATATCAAAATCATCTGCAAAGGTCAAAGGGCGTGGCCACGGTTGCCCTCTGATTTTTAATCCTTCGCCATAAAAGAGAAAGTACTGTGTAACTACCCAGTACATGCTCCATTCTGCATCAAACTTTACGTATTTGATCAGACTGTTGTCCTGATCACATACATATGCCCAAATCCATTCACAGTCATAGCGCCACCTATTGGAAAACAGGCTGTTTGAGGCATTATATTTCCAAGTGCCATTGCTTCAAACTTTGTGATGTCATTCTTAAAATTGGTTAGCTAAGTCTTCTCATGTTGATGATGCAACAGTGTGAATCGTTTGCATTTTCAAGCAACAGTGTTGCCATGGTGACGCATAGTTACTTTATGACGGAAATTACTTTTTGACACCTTGAGAATGCTTATAAACTCACCAAAATTGGCATATGAGTCACTATCGGCTCAACAACAGACAATATATGCCTGTTTGGCAAAATGGCTCTATAGCGCCCCCTGCAGCAATTTATCCAATAACATGGGGGCACAACGTTTAACCGACGGTTACAAAATTTGGTAGACATATGTAACACATCAGGACGCACAAAAAAGCCTCTTGGACCCATACCGTAAACTCAACAGGAAGTCCGCCATTTTGAAATTACTGTGCAATTTTGCAAAGCAAGCAGGGGTCCTTGCCGCAGTCTTGTCGCAGCCTTTCAAAGTAAGAAACTGAGCCAAAACATCTTTTGGGAAAAACTTATCTTGACTGACACCGTAAATCGTATCAACTTGAAAATCACAGGAGACAGAGAAGGCCTTGATGCACAAAAGTTCTGAAGGGATTTGGTACCGGTTCTCAAACGGTTTCCGAATGGCAAGCCGTTAAAATTGATGACCTGCCGCAGCCTCGGCTCATACTTTGTATGGCCGTCTATGGGACATGTGCAGACATGCTGTGTCAGTTGGTCATCTACACAAAAAACTAAAGGTCCTACAGCCTTACAAATTACA